TATATATATTTTTTCCTTGAAATGTGGCACTTTATAAATAATTTTTATTTAATTAAAGTAATTAATTATCGTGTATAAAAGTATCAAATAGTTTGAAAAATTATAAAATGTTAACAAAACAAGGTTAAAGTTAAATAAAAAAATTAACAAGTAAAATAACCAGAGAAATTGATTCTCTGTTAAAAGAATGAGAAAAATTTGAATTTATCTGGATAATAATAAACAATTAGATTTGATAATATTGAAATTCTAATATAATAAAGCTACATTGTCCAGACTGAGCACTGACATGAAATATTTGAATAGAAACGGACTTTTCACAGAAGAATGAAACAGTAATTCGAAAGGCAATGTTGCATTATATTACCAGAAAATTTGAAATTAAAATAAAGTACTGTATTTTAAACTGTATCGGATCAAAGTTCAACTCACTGCCTCATAGAATGTTATGACATCCATTGAATGATTAATTTGAAGCAGCACGTGCTTATTTTTAAGTTGATTTTATTAGTTTTCTCTGCATTGTTTCAAATAATAGCATTTTTATTTAGTCTTATAATTTACTTTTTCTTTATAAAATTTTTAAAACATTATTATAGTCATTTAATTAATATATACAGGATGTTCACCTTAACATTTATCAGTGCACAAAACAGAGCTTTCCAGCATTGTATGAGGGTATGCAGATGGTGCACTAGGTTTTACTGTGCTGTTTAAAGTAAGATAAGTTTATTCATTGAAAGAATAGGATATGCAGTAGTTCAAAAGCAGTACTTAAATTTTCCAAGCATGCAAATTAAAAAAATCTAGGAATGAATTACATAACTTCCCAACTTTTTATGAGATTTTATTTTTAAAATTTTATATATTTTTAATTATTATAAAATATCAAAAGACTTAATTTTGAGGTTATGAGTGTTATAAAATGCTGTGAATGCTAACAACAAATAAAATCTTCATCAAGTCCGACTCCTCGCAAGATATGACACCTTACCACCCTCTTTCTCTCTATCCCCTTGACCTTTCACAACTAAAATTTAGTAGCATCATTAGCCCTTATATACAAGCTACTTTGCCAAATTTCGTTTCTTTATCTTCACCCCACACTGAATTATTAAGTGAAATTGATGCAATACACACACATCCATGGAATTTTTTTGCCCCCTTTTTTTAACTCTTTTGGATTCGGGTGTCTCAAAAAGTGAAGATTTGCAAAAAACTCTGACACAGTTCCATTACTTTCCCTTGTTATGTATATATAACAGTCAGAAAAGTAAAATGTGATCTTCACAAATTATGGAGCAACATAGGTGGCTATGTTCTTACAAAAGAACCAATGTCATGCAGTCTGCTGATTAGTAGAACATTGTGACAATACCTTATAATCACGAACACTACTATGAAGTGATTATGAGAAAAAGACATAAAATACATGAGAAGCAGCATCAGTACTTTCCAGCTGCACCAATACTTATACATATGATGATTCTAAACATAATATACTGATTGATGCAAATTTGCTGCTGTGTCAGGGATTACTTTTCAGATTTCTCTCATCTTCATAACATTGGAGAATTTTGACATACATCTGCACATAAATGCATACATTAAGCAGAGAGGCAATGGGGACTTCAACATTCATAAAGATATCAGATTTTACATTACCATGGCCTGCATTCATTCAACTGCTATCTGCAACTGATACAACATGTAGGAGATGATGGATGATTTAGCTGGTGTGACATGACGTTAAATATACGCCAGGATGGATCGCAACTGCTTGAGCACTTTTTATGGATTGACTAAGCATTTTTTTTTTCTNATATAAAAATCCTTTCTCTATACACATGAAAAACAAATTTTTTGCAAATATTATATCTCATTTTTTAGCAATTTGTGTAGAGAATTGTAAAGAATCCAAATTTTTGTTCTTCTGCATTTAAAAATCACTAAAAAATTTGTTTTGATTAAATGCAAAGGAACAAAAAATTGCTATTCTTTATGATTGTCTACACAAATTGCTACAAATATGACATAAAATTAGCTAAAAATTTATTTTTCATGCATATGGAGAAAGAATTTTTATATTTATATCCTCTTATTTTAAAAGAATTGTTTTTTTTTATATTATATTATAGACAAAAAACAGTCTTGCTGACAAAGACAATAATACATGATCAAAAGTACTTGCATATATATTTTATGTTTATAAAAAGCTGGTAACACTAAAAGATAGTTTGTATAATGTATTATTTTTGTAATTTGGCATGAAGTGTGTGTAAAAAAGATTTTGTTAATAAACTAAAATGCTATTGGGATGTATTTTTATCCTATGATTACTTTATAACTTAAGTTTCTCATATGATTCATAATTAACATGTTTCATATTTTTTTTTATATAATCTATAGCAATAAGTCTTGGATTATGTCCTTCTATTCAATAGTCATAGGTATTCCTGACGATGATTTTATATATTGATTTTATATATATTAAGTTATTGTTAAAACAATAACTTTCATGCATCTAAATACTTGTTATTTTTAGATTTTATTTGTAATTTTCTTTATTAAAGCATTATTTCTTATTTCATTACTTTTATTATTATTTTATTACATAATGAAATAAGTTTGCATAGTTCTGATTTGTTTTCTTTTCTTATAGGAAAGTAGTAAATGACAGTTTGAGAACTGATGTATGTTTAATGTATCCTCCTCATCAGATAGCTCTAGGTAATTTTTCCATTCATCTTTGTTGTTTATTTTCAAATCATATTTTAAGTTATGATTTAATGGCTAAACTAGAAATTATTATATCTAAAATATTTTAAATATATACAGCACTCCAAATTGTAATGTATGATACACAGCATACTTTAATTATGTTTAATGTTATCAATATATAATTTGTTTATTTTATGGTAACGTAACTAAGAATGGAATTTAGACCCACTTAAAAGCTGGAACAATTGATTAATAACACTGCACACCATTCCAGCACATTAAAGTTTAATGGAAGCACAAACATTTTCAGCCACTTTAAGGAGTACCGCATCTGGCAAGAGAGCCATTTTTACATTAAACAAGTTACAAAAAATATTTTAAAATGGAACATTCTGTATGTTCAATAACGCAGTTTACAAATTATTCGATATGTGATTAGATGCTGTTTCAAAAGTTATAATTTTCAAATACAAAGATATATAGAACAAAGTATTAATTAATTAAAAAGAAAAATATTAATAATGCTAAAATAAGTACTCAACTATTAGTGCAGGTTAAAATGTCTTCATTATATGACCAGATGCAGTTTTATAAAAGTAATGTACACTTCACGCCTACACTTTACTGTATAACGTAATTGCACTTACGTGTTGTGGCATTACCAACGGTGAATTTGAAGTATAAATGAGTTCACCACATTTATTATTATAGCTTCTGTCCTTTTTTCTTTATATTCTTATATAGCTACATATCTTTGGCTATTAGTTTTGGACTCATCACACCATGTTTGTGATAAGTCCAAAACTAACAGGGAAACCTACATAAGAATAAAAAATTATTTTACTTGTAATTGTACCAGTAATGTAATTATAACTGTACATTTTTTTTTAAAAAAAAGAAAATTGTTTGTGTATTTAATTTAATGAAGACAGTCTTTATACAGTTTTAGAAATGATTATTGCATCAAAGTTTCTTTTCAGGTTGACAGTCGGGTATATACTGTAATATAACATCCAGAGAATAAAAATGGTATTATGAAGCCAATACAATTGTATTCTTTAGACTAAGCGAAAAAGAAAGACGATAAGATGTAGAATGAAAATNAGATTTTATTACCAATGGCTTGGTAAGAGTACTCTATATTAGAAATATTAAATTTGAGATTATTTATGATTTGTAAAATGTTGTGTACTTAAATATAATTTGATTATAAGATTTTCAAATGTCATTACTTTTATAATTTGTATTAAACTAACACAACTGCACAAAGGAAATGAAATGAAAAATAATGCTTTAATAGAGGAGAAATGAGAAGCACTCAAATGCACTCATATTATCATAATTCATCATCTAAAACAGTGTTCTTCAACCTTGGTCCTGGTGCCAGTCTGCGGAAATTTCTTGCTAGTTCGTAAAAATTTCTTAGACCGTCGAGAATTATTAACAAAATAATATTTTAAACTTGTAATTAATATAAACAATTTTTATTTAGTTTTATTATTGCAATTGTTTAAATAAAGTTACAACAAATCATGCTTGTCACCCATGTTTAAGCAGTTTACGTCTAAGAAAATTTATAGTTAGTTTTCTGCTGATCCAGAACAGCAGTTTCTAACCAGTGGACTGTAGACTACTGATGGTCTGCAAGAAAATTTTGGTGGTCCTTAGAGAAATTTGAACATTGATCAACTCAAGATTACACAAAGTATTATGAAAGAAATGCAAAGTGCTTGGTTGCTTCTTCTCACTCATTGGGGGTTTTTTATTTGAGACTAAAACCAAACAAAAAATGACTGTTATTAGTAAATAATAATATCAATAAATAATGTTGTGAGTGTGATTGTCATCGTAAGTGGAAAAGAGCCAAGAATCCATAAACTTATTTCAAACAAGCATCAATAAACTTTATACTAATTTATTATAATTAAACAAGTGAATTTTATATTAATGAAGTAAAATAGAATGGACCGTTTGTGATCATTATTCTATAGATGTTTGTATCGTTAAAAATTATTTCTTTATTTTTTACAAATGAAATAAATTTATTGAAAAACAAAAAAAACCTGTAAAGAAAACATTAAAATTTAAACAATCAATTCTAATTTGCTTTATTGGAGCTTCTAATAAATAAGCATTCACTCTACAACTCTAACACTTAAGTTTTGTAACTTGTCTTTAGGAATATAAACAGTAAATTTCACTAATAAAGATTTAAACTTTAAAGTACATTTGAAAGAATAAAATTTGAGAATAGCAAACTAAATTATCTTTTCGTGTTTAGTGATACAGAAGAATGGCTTAATTTGTTAGGTTTTAAAAAACATTTTTATATGAAATTTTAAGATCGTGTTTTCAGCAAGATACAAGAATCATTAATGTGGTATACGTATGTGCAATGATCATCAATGAACATAATCTGTTTAGAAATTCAGTCTACAAACTCTTAATATTTACAAATCATCAAGAAATATATAAAATGGTATTTTATTTGCTAATTAAGAAAAACATCAAAATCTTTCAGATTAGAATAAAAGCCAACAGAAAGATGTGATTTAAAAAATTGGCAGAAAGAGATATAGAAAAGATACCATTACATTTTATTGGAAATAAAATCTTTATAAAAAGTTTAGTAAGATTGAGGAGTGAGATAGTCACGGATTAGGTATAATCTGGGCCTCCTGCCCGTAAACTTTCCATATCTGGTCTTGAATTTCATCTATCTGACTCCATTCTTGAGATTAAGGAGGGACAAACAGTGGGAATTTACAGGACTACAATTTTTTCAAATTCTGGCCCAATAATTCTGAGCTTTTACAGAAACATTTTTCAAATTATCATTCAATTTCTGATTGAGATGACTTATCTTTATTATTTCCATAGAATTTTCTTCATACCTAGGGAGATCATGATATAATTTTCTTTGTTTGTTAACGGAAGATTTGCTCATAATAATCTCTAGAACAAAAGAAGCAGAATCCTGCTTTTTTTGTTCTAAAAATCATTTTGAGCAAGTCTTTGATGAACAGAAGAAAAATATAATAATATCGGTATTTTGTGTTTATTAAAGTTACATTTAAGTTTTCATTGATAGTTTATGAATATTGATGTCATATCAAGTATGCTTTGTTTTCTAATTAAATTTTTATTTATATGTATTAAAATAAAAGCACATAAATTAACATATAAAAGCCAAGAAGTAATTAATATAAAACGAACATAAAAGATTATACAAAAAAAGTAATAAAAAGGATAATAAAACTGTCTAAAAACTCGAATTCCTGCTTATATGATACGTAGGTCACATATAATCTATAAATATGGAAATCTAATCATTTTAAACATATATAATTTATTAGGTTGCTTAACAAATAAAAACTAAAATTATTCATNATAATTTATATATAAAGTGCTAAAAAACTTTAAGTTCGATTTTCTTGATTATATTTGAGCATTGCACTTTAGTATTTTACAGGTAGTACACTCACATGGTGTACTACTTCTGCACCAAAGATTGTCAAAATCCGTTACCCCAAAGCCGTAGGCTCTCCTTGTTAATAATTTTTAATTTTATCCATGATAATCTTTATTATTTTTTAATTATGGTTGTGATGGCAGTTCCCAGTGGCAGCGTAGCTGCAGACAGGATTGAAAGTTGGTTTACATTGTATGTATTTGCCTAGCAGAACATAACAACAAGTGAAATAGTGAATTCACATGATGGGTTGTACTACTCCAACTGTTTGAACAGAACTGCTCACAGAAAACACACGAAATGTGTGTCATCGTGTAAGAATTGGGCGGGGAGATTCACGTCGCGACATGCTTCTGTGCTTTCACTTTCGCCAGCGAATCATGCTCAGTGTGAACTAAGCTTAACACACAATACAGTATATATAACAAAACATACCAGAAAGAAAGCGAAAAAGCAATGAAAACATACTAGTATAATGTGAGAGTGAGAGATGGCTTGGACACACACGACAGATTGCACTTATGCTTTGAGCACATTTTTTTTTTCAATATGCACACAGTTCTAACTCTAAAGGCAAATTTTTTTGTCAAATTTTGCATTCGAAGTTAGAGTCATTTAAAGTGCAAGATAACACCGTAATTCACTAGTAAAATTAATTGGGTGAAGCTCTGCAGTCAGAAAATGTTTTGTCTGTGATCAAAGTTAAAAGCAACTACACAACCACTAAACATCATTTTTGCAAATATGTACAACCTGGTAAGGCCAATGTCATGACAGAGCTGGATTTTCGAAAATCAGGGTCAAAAGTTTTCTGCGTAAAGTCTATGGACTAATTGCCAGTTGTAAGCCAGTCACAAGCTACATGTCATTTGAGTTTTAGATTCCAGTAAATTTACATTGATTATCTCTACAATAATTTTTCATTTTCGATTTAGACCAGTTTTGAATCCTTTTTTCACAGTTTTAGTTTTTTTATACTGCAGAATACAGTTTAATTTTTTTTTAGACAATACCCAGTAATAACATGAGTTTAGTGGTCCATGAAGTCAGAACAGTTGGTGACTGCTGATCTAGAACACTTCAGATGTTGGAATAAAATGCTATTGTAATCAAGATGAGAAACTAGATATAAACCAAAAGTGCTATGATTACAAGAAAAAATATGACTAGGAAACATATTAATTATGAATTGTACAAGAAACATAAATTATTACAAGATAAACCAATTTATCATATTAAACAAACTGTCTTAACAGCTTTTTTATAAACAAAATATACACACAAGAATTTTTGAGAATATATTATTAACTTTTTCAAGTAAGAAGAATTTTTTGTATTAATTATTAATAGAAAGAATATCAAACAAAAATCCTTTTAAAATAAGAGAACATAAATATAAAAATCCTTTCTCTATACACATGAAAAACAAATTTTTTGCAAATATTATATCTCATTTTTTAGCAATTTGTGTAGAGAATTGTAAAGAATCCAAATTTTTGTTCTTCTGCATTTAAAAATCACTAAAAAATTTGTTTTGATTAAATGCAAAGGAACAAAAAATTGCTATTCTTTATGATTGTCTACACAAATTGCTACAAATATGACATAAAATTAGCTAAAAATTTATTTTTCATGCATATGGAGAAAGAATTTTTATATTTATATCCTCTTATTTTAAAAGAATTGTTTTTTTTTTATATTATACTATAGACAAAAAACAGTCTTGCTGACAAAGACAATAATACATGATCAAAAGTACTTGCATATATATTTTATGTTTATAAAAAGCTGGTAACACTAAAAGATAGTTTGTATAATGTATTATTTTTGTAATTTGGCATGAAGTGTGTGTAAAAAAGATTTTGTTAATAAACTAAAATGCTATTGGGATGTATTTTTATCCTATGATTACTTTATAACTTAAGTTTCTCATATGATTCATAATTAACATGTTTCATATTTTTTTTTATATAATCTATAGCAATAAGTCTTGGATTATGTCCTTCTATTCAATAGTCATAGGTATTCCTGACGATGATTTTATATATTGATTTTATATATATTAAGTTATTGTTAAAACAATAACTTTCATGCATCTAAATACTTGTTATTTTTAGATTTTATTTGTAATTTTCTTTATTAAAGCATTATTTCTTATTTCATTACTTTTATTATTATTTTATTACATAATGAAATAAGTTTGCATAGTTCTGATTTGTTTTCTTTTCTTATAGGAAAGTAGTAAATGACAGTTTGAGAACTGATGTATGTTTAATGTATCCTCCTCATCAGATAGCTCTAGGTAATTTTTCCATTCATCTTTGTTGTTTATTTTCAAATCATATTTTAAGTTATGATTTAATGGCTAAACTAGAAATTATTATATCTAAAATATTTTAAATATATACAGCACTCCAAATTGTAATGTATGATACACAGTACATAAAGTTAATTCTGTACAGTCATAATGCATGTTCAATGAATTAAAGTTATTTTATGTTATATTATTATTCCATTAATATTTAAATTTTTCTTTTACACATTAACTATATGAGATAATTTGTTTGTATAAACATAAATAAAATTTTTTAAAGTACAGCTGTTCCTTGATAATCCGACAGGTATGGGACCAAAGCGGTGTCGGATTACCAAAAGTGTCCAGATTACCGAAAGTGATTACATATTTGGCATTGTTTTGCTAGCAGTAGCCTACAATATCCCTACTCCAACTGTTTGAACAGAACTGCTCACGGAAAACACACGAAATGTGTGTCATCGTGTAAGAATTGGGTGNCATTATATACAAGATATTGGACAAGAAGAGATTTTATTACCAATGGCTTGGTAAGAGTACTCTATATTAGAAATATTAAATTTGAGATTATTTATGATTTGTAAAATGTTGTGTACTTAAATATAATTTGATTATAAGATTTTCAAATGTCATTACTTTTATAATTTGTATTAAACTAACACAACTGCACAAAGGAAATGAAATGAAAAATAATGCTTTAATAGAGGAGAAATGAGAAGCACTCAAATGCACTCATATTATCATAATTCATCATCTAAAACAGTGTTCTTCAACCTTGGTCCTGGTGCCAGTCTGCGGAAATTTCTTGCTAGTTCGTAAAAATTTCTTAGACCGTCGAGAATTATTAACAAAATAATATTTTAAACTTGTAATTAATATAAACAATTTTTATTTAGTTTTATTATTGCAATTGTTTAAATAAAGTTACAACAAATCATGCTTGTCACCCATGTTTAAGCAGTTTACGTCTAAGAAAATTTATAGTTAGTTTTCTGCTGATCCAGAACAGCAGTTTCTAACCAGTGGACTGTAGACTACTGATGGTCTGCAAGAAAATTTTGGTGGTCCTTAGAGAAATTTGAACATTGATCAACTCAAGATTACACAAAGTATTATGAAAGAAATGCAAAGTGCTTGGTTGCTTCTTCTCACTCATTGGGGGTTTTTTATTTGAGACTAAAACCAAACAAAAAATGACTGTTATTAGTAAATAATAATATCAATAAATAATGTTGTGAGTGTGATTGTCATCGTAAGTGGAAAAGAGCCAAGAATCCATAAACTTATTTCAAACAAGCATCAATAAACTTTATACTAATTTATTATAATTAAACAAGTGAATTTTATATTAATGAAGTAAAACGGAACTTTTATGATCATTATTCTATAGATGTTTGTATCGTTTAAAAAAAAATTCATGATAGTGGTCTGCAGGATTCAAAATTGTGAGTTTAGTGGTCCATGAAGTCAGAACAGTTGGTGACTGCTGATCTAGAACACTTCAGATGTTGGAATAAAATGCTATTGTAATCAAGATGAGAAACTAGATATAAACCAAAAGTGCTATGATTACAAGAAAAAATATGACTAGGAAACATATTAATTATGAATTGTACAAGAAACATAAATTATTACAAGATAAACCAATTTATCATATTAAACAAACTGTCTTAACAGCTTTTTTATAAACAAAATATACACACAAGAATTTTTGAGAATATATTATTAACTTTTTCAAGTAAGAAGAATTTTTTGTATTAATTATTAATAGAAAGAATATCAAACAAAAATCCTTTTAAAATAAGAGAACATAAATATAAAAATCCTTTCTCTATACACATGAAAAACAAATTTTTTGCAAATATTATATCTCATTTTTTAGCAATTTGTGTAGAGAATTGTAAAGAATCCAAATTTTTGTTCTTCTGCATTTAAAAATCACTAAAAAATTTGTTTTGATTAAATGCAAAGGAACAAAAAATTGCTATTCTTTATGATTGTCTACACAAATTGCTACAAATATGACATAAAATTAGCTAAAAATTTATTTTTCATGCATATGGAGAAAGAATTTTTATATTTATATCCTCTTATTTTAAAAGAATTGTTTTTTTTTATATTATATTATAGACAAAAAACAGTCTTGCTGACAAAGACAATAATACATGATCAAAAGTACTTGCATATATATTTTATGTTTATAAAAAGCTGGTAACACTAAAAGATAGTTTGTATAATGTATTATTTTTGTAATTTGGCATGAAGTGTGTGTAAAAAAGATTTTGTTAATAAACTAAAATGCTATTGGGATGTATTTTTATCCTATGATTACTTTATAACTTAAGTTTCTCATATGATTCATAATTAACATGTTTCATATTTTTTTTTATATAATCTATAGCAATAAGTCTTGGATTATGTCCTTCTATTCAATAGTCATAGGTATTCCTGACGATGATTTTATATATTGATTTTATATATATTAAGTTATTGTTAAAACAATAACTTTCATGCATCTAAATACTTGTTATTTTTAGATTTTATTTGTAATTTTCTTTATTAAAGCATTATTTCTTATTTCATTACTTTTATTATTATTTTATTACATAATGAAATAAGTTTGCATAGTTCTGATTTGTTTTCTTTTCTTATAGGAAAGTAGTAAATGACAGTTTGAGAACTGATGTATGTTTAATGTATCCTCCTCATCAGATAGCTCTAGGTAATTTTTCCATTCATCTTTGTTGTTTATTTTCAAATCATATTTTAAGTTATGATTTAATGGCTAAACTAGAAATTATTATATCTAAAATATTTTAAATATATACAGCACTCCAAATTGTAATGTATGATACACAGTACATAAAGTTAATTCTGTACAGTCATAATGCATGTTCAATGAATTAAAGTTATTTTATGTTATATTATTATTCCATTAATATTTAAATTTTTCTTTTACACATTAACTATATGAGATAATTTGTTTGTATAAACATAAATAAAATTTTTTAAAGTACAGCTGTTCCTTGATAATCCGACAGGTATGGGACCAAAGCGGTGTCGGATTACCAAAAGTGTCCAGATTACCGAAAGTGATTACATATTTGGCATTGTTTTGCTAGCAGTAGCCTACAATATCCCTACTCCAACTGTTTGAACAGAACTGCTCACGGAAAACACACGAAATGTGTGTCATCGTGTAAGAATTGGGCGGGGAGATTCACGTCGCGACATGCTTCTGTGCTTTCACTTTCGCCAGCGAATCATGCTCAGTGTGAACTAAGCTTAACACACAATACAGTATATATAACAAAACATACCAGAAAGAAAGCGAAAAAGCAATGAAAACATACTAGTATAATGTGAGAGTGAGAGATGGCTTGGACACACACGACAGATTGCACTTATGCTTTGTGCACATTTTTTTCAATATGCACACAGTTCTAACTCTAAAGGCAAATTTTTTTGTCAAATTTTGCATTCGAAGTTAGAGTCATTTAAAGTGCAAGATAACACCGTAATTCACTAGTAAAATTAATTGGGTGAAGCTCTGCAGTCAGAAAATGTTTTGTCTGTGATCAAAGTTAAAAGCAACTACACAACCACTAAACATCATTTTTGCAAATATGTACAACCTGGTAAGGCCAATGTCATGACAGAGCTGGATTTTCGAAAATCAGGGTCAAAAGTTTTCTGCGTAAAGTCTATGGACTAATTGCCAGTTGTAAGCCAGTCACAAGCTACATGTCATTTGAGTTTTAGATTCCAGTAAATTTACATTGATTATCTCTACAATAATTTTTCATTTTCGATTTAGACCAGTTTTGAATCCTTTTATCACAGTTTTAGTTTTTTTATACTGCAGAATACAGTTTAATTTTTTTTTAGAAAATACCCAGTAATAACATACAGTAAGTGCAGAAAGTCTCATAAAGTTAAACTGATTTTCATAACCCAAATTAATTTAGTTTCATTAATTTGGAAAATATTAAGTTATTTTAGTTTTTGTTTATATGAAAATTTAAAAAAAAAAATATTGATTGTGAGATTGAGCAGTAAAAAAGCTCTATCAAATGTTAAATAAATAGATCAATAAAAACGTGAATAGCATTGTAAAATGCTAATTTTAATTATAATCTTAAAGTTATTATTAACATTAAATCTAAGTGGTATATTTGTATATAATTATATTTATAAAATTAAATTTTAAATTTATTTTTATAGCATGTTTACATATGGCATGTGTTATTCTTCAGAAAGATTGTAAACAGTGGTTTTCTGAGTTAAATGTAGATATGGAAAAAGTACGTATAATTTTATATAAATTTCATAAAATAAATTTTTTTTTAAATTGATTTTCGTATAATTTTAAACTTATATCTATTTCATTTGAATTATATTAAAATTTAAAAAATTCACAATTTTGATCACTTATTTATATAGATGTCAATATCAAAATTTATGAGATTAAGCTTAGTGAAATTTTCATTAATTCCCTCATTTGCAAACTTGCATTAGACTTTATCTGTAGGCTTCTGCTGGAGCCAAAAATTTAAATCCTTCCTTTAGATATACTTCAGTCAAGTTAGAACTGTCTTAATAATTTTTAATTTTATCCATGATAATCTTTATTATTTTTTAATTATGGTTGTGATGGCAGTTCCAGTGGCAGCGTAGCTGCAGACAGGATTGAAAGTTGGTTTACATTGTATGTATTTGCCTAGCAGAACATAACAACAAGTGAAATAGTGAATTCACATGATGGGTTGTATTGCCAGAGGTTATTTTTGCTGTTTTGAAAGAATATTCCAATTCAACAGCCAATTGCATAGGAACGTTTGAAGACAAATGCCATTACAGTAACCAATGAGGTGTGTTATTAATCTAACAATGAATTACAAAATTCATTGAGGGGAACCTTTGAAAACATGACAGGTAGGGAGGATATGCCAATAATATTAAGTAAAACAAATCCTTTTATAACTGAAAACTAAAAGAATATTGTAATAAAATATTTAAATAATTCTATTGGGAAAATATAGCAAAAGCAATGAAAACTGGCAATTAGTACCTTTGATCAAGTTTTTCTTTCATTTTGTTATTGCCAGCCAGTTTATAAGTAATATAAGCAGCTAGATATTTTTTTTTTTTATGATATTCTTCTACACTTGACAAATACAGATGGTGTGAAAACTCAAGGTTTCAGTAGTAATTAGCTTACATATAAAGATCTGTTGTGATGTGAGTTGATGCAATCAGTTTAGAAACACCAGTTTGGGAACTTATTTTTAAATTCACCAAATTTTTATATGTTAATCAGCAGTTGGCTCTTGAGTAATGGACAAAAAATGTTATGTTCTAAAAGAAACTGTGTAAGCTTTGAGATGAAATATTTTAAAAAGTAGAAGAAGCACTTCATTACTTACACTGTATTATTATGTTTAATTAAAATAAAGTTTGGATTCTGTCATAAATTTATATTTTTAACAGACGTTTTAATGACATGCATAAATCACTCAATATACATATACAAACATCTCAAAGCACCCAGTGTTTAATTGTAAGCCAAACAATTGCCCTATCGAATCAGGCTACATTACTGCTACAATTAATAATCAAATTCTGAATAATTTGGTACTAGAGGTAGGAATTAAGTGCCATCTCTTAAGAGACTTTTAATACAAAATCATTTTATGAATATAACATCAATTATTAAAAATATGCATAATTTTTATGTTAATTTCTTAACATTTTATATCTTTTGCAGACTATTGTTTACTATTATATGAAATTGATTTTAATATTTTTAGATCCTTAAATTTTAAAGAGTTAATATGAAGTTTACGTTTATATTTATATAAATTATACATATCTCAAGAATAAATCCTTTTGTTTTGTAATCATACATATGATAGCTTAAAAAAATTTTTTTCTGTAATATAACAGATCTATAATATAATTTTTCAACTTAGATTTTAGAAATAACTCGCCAAATTTTATCCCTCTATGATTTATGGAAAAACTTTGATGAGAAAAAAGAAATTCCAGCCTTACTAGCAAAAATTCCAAAACCAAAAACGCAACCTTCCAGGTAAATTTTAAGAATATCGTAACATATATTAATATTTGTTTATTCTTTCAACAATGTAAAATTATTCTAATTAACTAGTAAATTTTTTAATATAACATTAAGAAAGTTGATTAAAGCTTGCTGGAAATATATACTTTCAAAAATAATATAGAATAAAAAAAAAGAGCAATGAATATATATTAATCTTGATGAGAAATGTAGGAATTAAATTGAAATTTTGTTATTTATTATGAATAAAGTATACATAACAAAAACAAAATCTAAACATGTGCAATATTAATTGAAAAATTTCATTAAGTTTATTTAAGGTTTATATTGTTCAGTTCTAAAGTTTTTTTTTGGTAATCATTTTTTAATCTGTAATTTTTATATTAACTTTGCTGTTAGTAGCATAATTAAAATTGTAGTATTTTTATTGAAAAACAAAAAAAACCTGTAAAGAAAACATTAAAATTTAAACAATCAATTCTAATTTGCTTTATTGGAGCTTCTAATAAATAAGCATTCACTCTACAACTCTAACACTTAAGTTTTGTAACTTGTCTTTAGGAATATAAACAGTAAATTTCACTAATAAAGATTTAAACTTTAAAGTACATTTGAAAGAATAAAATTTGAGAATAGCAAACTAAATTATCTTTTCGTGTTTAGTGATACAGAAGAATGGCTTAATTTGTTAGGTTTTAAAAAACATTTTTATATGAAATTTTAAGATCGTGTTTTCAGCAAGATACAAGAATCATTAATGTGGTATACATATGTGCAATGATCATCAATGAACATAATCTGTTTAGAAATTCAGTCTACAAACTCTTAATATTTACAAATCATCAAGAAATATATAAAATGGTATTTTATTTGCTAATTAAGAAAAACATCAAAATCTTTCAGATTAGAATAAAAGCCAACAGAAAGATGTGATTTAAAAAATTGGCAGAAAGAGATATAGAAAAGATACCATTACATTTTATTGGAAATAAAATCTTTATAAAAAGTTTAGTAAGATTGAGGAGTGAGATAGTCACGGATTAGGTATAATCTGGGCCTCCTGCCCGTAAACTTTCCATATCTGGTCTTGAATTTCATCTATCTGACTCCATTCTTGAGATTAAGGAGGGACAAACAGTGGGAATTTACAGGACTACAATTTTTTCAAATTCTGGCCCAATAATTCTGAGCTTTTACAGAAACATTTTTCAAATTATCATTCAATTTCTGATTGAGATGACTTATCTTTATTATTTCCATAGAATTTTCTTCATACCTAGGGAGATCATGATATAATTTTCTTTGTTTGTTAACGGAAGATTTGCTCATAATAATCTCTAGAACAAAAGAAGCAGAATCCTGCTTTTTTTGTTCTAAAAATCATTTTGAGCAAGTCTTTGATGAACAGAAGAAAAATATAATAATATCGGTATTTTGTGTTTATTAAAGTTACATTTAAGTTTTCATTGATAGTTTATGAATATTGATGTCATATCAAGTATGCTTTGTTTTCTAATTAAATTTTTATTTATATGTATTAAAATAAAAGCACATAAATTAACATATAAAAGCCAAGAAGTAATTAATATAAAACGAACATAAAAGATTATACAAAAAAAGTAATAAAAAGGATAATAAAACTGTCTAAAAACTCGAATTCCTGCTTATATGATACGTAGGTCACATATAATCTATAAATATGGAAATCTAATCATTTTAAACATATATAATTTATTAGGTTGCTTAACAAATAAAAACTAAAATTATTCATATTACATTTTAATTGCATGATAAATTCTTACATTGATAAAATAATAATAATAAAAAATTATTTGAATCGCAGAGTTGGAAAAATGTTGAAATTAATATTTAATATTTTTTAATGGTTTATATGAATGTATAAATTTGAATAAATCCATTACCTGATAAACATTTTGTAATTAAAAGTATTTCATTGCTATTTTTGATTCACAAATATTTTTGAAAGTAGATCAATTAATTTCTTAGGAAATCAAATTTAAAGAATAATAATAATAATAATAATAATGCTATTAAATTATGATATAATTAAAGTTTATGCTAAACTAAAATAATTTTAGTTTTCTCACAGTTATCGAATAATAAATTCTGTTTATTATAAAGAAGTGTCTCAAGAGCTCTTAAAACGTTTGCTTCTCTCTCGTCGAAGTAATTACATAACATATTTATAATAGCTCTAGTAAAAGATATCATTTTTTTTAGGCTTGAATGTTGCAATTTTTGTTCATAAGAAAAATCTAATCGGGTATGACGAGATGATCTAATAGCTATTTCACTGGTCCATTTCAATTTCCAGAATGATACAAATATCTTAATCATTCTAGAATAGTGAGAGGAACGTCATCCTGCATAAATCATACATCTTGTGAAATATTGAAAGAAATATTATTAATAGGTTTTAGAAAATCATTACTTAAGGAATTGAAGTTCTCGTTCATATCGGTTACCAAGAAAAAATCCAACAACAAGTTGCATATCTTTTCTGGTGTAAAATACTTACGTTTATGAAACACTAAGACAAATTACTACCAAGTTAAAATTACGTGCGGTGCCATTTGTTACGAGATGTTATTAAGAAAAAGCTTTTATTATATTAATTATTATGAAAACATAAAAAAAAGCTTAATTTTGAGGGTAGATAACTTTTAAAAATATTGAAAATGACAATAATAAAAAATTTTCACTAAATCTGACTCCACTCGAGATATGACGTGACTCATTTTCTACTCCCCAGAGGGTCAAATGTGACATGATTACAATATGTTAAAACACCAGGAAAGCAAAAGTGATAATGAATGGTGGCTAGCAAATACGTATTGAAAATACTGAAATTGTTTTCGTATACATATTCCATTAGGGGTATTTTATGATTATTCAGTATATCTTTTCTAATTGTTACTTTATCCATCTGAAGAATATCATGAATAAAATGTAAGAGTTAATAAAATAGTCATTGGAAAAGCTAGAGTCATCTTAGATTGTCTTCTGGAAATAAGTATTACATAATGTAGATCTGATTAAGATATTTATTGCATTATAAGACACTGTTTTCTGCTGGATATTGTTGGATAAATTATTACAAAAACATTAAACCTACTTTCCTAATGAAACAAATAGAAATTTATTCACATGAAAAAGATTTTTTTCTCTTAATTTATTATAATGCCCCTAATTTATTCAAAAAAGAAATGTATTCTTATCTTCAGTTATGCATATTGTATTTTATTATTTTTGTTCATTTTTTTGAGCTAACCACATTAGTTACAAGTTACACCAGATGTGACATTATTAGAAAGAAACTAGGAAAATTAAATTAAATTTATTAAATGCAGTTTATTTTACATTCTTTCAATTATATACGATTGATGTTTTGATGATTATAATACACAATAAACTGATAATCGATATATTATTGGTGACTTATACTTTCAAAATTCTATAGTTTTCTAAATTACCATCTTATGTAGATTAAGAATTGCCTGTAATGCTATCAATTTTTAGCATTATAATGTAGAAAATGGTGATCACAAAACAGAAATTTTAGTCAAGGAAATAGTAAAAGTCACACAGTGACATTTTGGGTGAATATGGAACTTAAAGTACTTGTTGAATTTTTGGCCAAAAATTCATGAACAACAAGAGCATTTTGAGCAGATGAATTATCGTGTTGTAAAATTCATGAATTTTCTTGCTCAAATCAGGTCGTTTTCTATAAATTGCTTCTCACAAACGATGCAAAATGCTCAAATAATTCTTTATTGTCAGTTTAGCCAATCACAAGAAATTCCTAATGCACAACTCCACAATGATTGAATAAAACAGTCAACACGGCCTTGATTTTTGATTGATTTTGATAAGGTCATTTCATTCTTGCTTCATCTTTTGAGTGCCATTCGTTTGATCGTTCAACTGTTTCAGTGTCAAAAGTGTAGATCCATGTCTCATCACCTGTAATGATGTGTTTAAGAACACTTTGCTGTGAGAAAACATTTCCTTGGCCACTTGAATATATTGTTTTTGGAAAAAATTCAACATGCTGCAAGGCCAAATGGTCTTTCAAAATTGCTTGACAAGATCCAAATAATACAGGAATGTGTTCAATAATGTTCCTAAGTGTTAATTAATGATCATTGAGTAACAAATCTCTGATTCAAGCTAATCATTCTAAAAAATGAACAAATGATCCATTCTTGATACTTTTTGATGACAGTAGTATCAAAGAAAAAGGAGTCACAAACTAGAGGCTAACATTCGTATCACCGAAGTTTATTGTAACACTTTTCTGTTACAACGTGTCGCAATAAAATTCTCTGATACAAGATTAGTTTTTAGTGTGTATAACTCCTTTTTCCTTAATATAACAAATCCTAATATTAGTAAGTCTTCACACCATGAAAAAACCATAAAATGCAGTGATACTTTTTAATCTTCTATTATTTTCGATTGTTTTTATTGACGTTCTTCAAGTTAAAAAAGAAAAAAACACAGATTGAATGATGATTTTTACTTATTTAAATGGAACGTAAACATATTTCTGAAGCACACATTCAAATATTAATATGTAGAACAAAAAATTCAAATGAGAGAATGCATTTTTGTATTATTTTTTTTGTTATTTCTTGTATAATAATGTACTTCTTAACTGTAATATATGTAAAATTAAAAAGAGTTCTAGCACTTTTTGGACTTTTATAAATCTTTTTAAAATTGAATATTATAATCCAGCAAGTTTTAAAAACTCTTCTTTTTTTTTTTATTTAAAATTTTTAAACTAATTGATAATTATTATTTATTTTAATTTTCTAATTGTAAATGGAATTGATAAGAGATTTATTAAGCTTTATTATGTAAAGATTTTTGTTAAAGATTGCTTATTTTATGCTTACAATTTCAGTATTAAAGCCAAATAAAATATCAATTAATAACTGGAAAACAATTTACAAAAGCCATTTATAGTAACAAATTAAACAACT